GGGAGGTGTCTTACCTGCGCTCAGTTCCACGTTAATTGTGATGTACAAAAGAAATGTGCGTGGATTCAGGCGTACGCAGTTTGATACATCTGGATTTTTTGTGCGTACGCCGTTTTCTGGATTTGACCGTACGCCACGTTTCAGTAAGAAATCCACGCAAGTCTTTGTACATTAGGTCCCAGGCCTTTGCGGAAAAATCAAGTCAACTGTGATGTCATGTTCTAGTAGCACCATTTAGAAATGTTAAAGGTCAACTTAAAGTCATGGTTCATAAGTTTTGCTTTCTGCTTTGTAGCTGTGTGACGGGGAAGTTATGTTGTTTACCAGAAATGTTAAAKAAGTTCAGAAAAAACATAAAGAACCTGTCACCCCAAGTGTGAGACACCAACCTTGAAGTTAAACCCTAGATAACAAGAAGTTACACTTTCCAAGTTGGTAGAAAAGACACATAAACAAACAAGCTGTTAGTTCATCTTTGCTGATAGGTCTGCCTGAACCTGTCTGCAGTCTTGAACTCCTTGTGCGCAAGGAAAAGAGCTGAGGTGACTTCACTCAGCCATGTGTCATTCTCTATATTTGAGGTACCTTGATAAATAAATTAAATAAAATATCCACAAGTATCTCATCAGAGCACAGTTGAGAAAACAGCCACAAACTATGTCATGTGAAACTGTCAGTTTAGGCATTTCTGATAGTCTAGCCCAGGGAGTCCCACATTTGTCCACACACATGGTCCACCAAATCGCATTAGCTTCTAGCCACACACCCACCGTGCAAGCCCAAAAATTATGCTACAAAATATGTAAAGAAACATCAACTTTTAGAACAGTCTCTCTCACATTTTTTCACTACTCAATATTAATACATTTGTTTAGCATAGGAATTTTATTACTAACATGTTTTTAACAATATTACATTTCAACTGAAAAACAAACTTCAACAAACTGTTGATAGGAACAAAATAAAACAAACCTCTTGAGCCCTATTAACATTTTTAGAATATTATGAATTATATTTTTAAATGACTGATTTTATGATAATGATATAAAACATTTATTAGATCATTTTTATTTTTATATTTCTTTTCTTAACCTCCCTCCAGCTTTCTGGGGCCCTTTAACAGCGTCCACTTTGATCATGAGTGGTTCATGCCAACAACAGCTAATCTTTTACATCAGTGGTGTCCAATTCTGGTCCTCAAGGATTCAAATCAGTCAATTCATTCAGTCAAATCAGGTGTGTTGGAGCAGAAAAGCCCTCTAAAACATGCAGGATAGTGGCTCTCAACAAAAGGGGAGGCAGAGTTGACGCTGAGAACACAGTGACGTCATTTTTGTCATGAAACCGCGATAATCCGAGTCGATTTCAGGAGTTCAGAGGGAGTGTGAAGTAGGCTTTAGAGATTAGTCGTTGCACCCCGGCAGTAACTGACTTACCGAGTAAAACAAGTGTTTTCCTCTTGAACGACGGTAGTTTCACCACTTCTTCATAAGTCACCAAATCTAGTTGGTCAAACACTGAACAGAGGAGAAGGAAGAAGTTAGCAGAGGGTAATATTAACACAGGAAGCAAAACTGAAAATTAAAGAGAAATTCTATATAATCAGAAAAGATCTAAAGCACTGCAAGAAAACTTTTGACATTTCTGTATTAAACCTGTGCAGAATACAGTTACTGACACATGGTGGTTTTTCTTAGTGAAAGGTAATGGGTACTAAGTTCAACTGCAGGTCTGTTACCAGGCTGCGCTTATTTAACCAATAAAAAATTAGTGGGTAAAACCACAGTGTGCACACAAACTAAAAGGGRAATTACAAATCAAGCCATGTTATTTAAATGATGCTTAATGTCTTTAAACCTGTCAGATTGAGAACTAGCATCAATCTGAATCACATTGCTTTAACAACAAATCAGAGCAGCTCATAAAGCATTCAAGAGTCAAGGAAACATCAGGAAAAAAGATGAAGAGGGAAAAAGGATACCAGCTTTGAGTTACTTACATGCAGCCATGTCATTGGATAAGAGACAGCATGAAATATGGACAAAGGATGGGAGTGGAAGGGTTAATAAAGACCATAAAAGAATAACTTAAAAAAAGCCATTAGTTACCATAAAAATTTAGACAGAGGTAGAAAATAGAGACTTTGAGGGAAAACAACAGACATGCAACATTTACAGGTGCAGCAATGTGATTAAGTCCTGTTTGCTTTGTTACACAAATACTAAAAAATACCTTATTAGTAAAAGTATAGTGTACAATAAAATTAAAAAATACTCCAGTGTATTTGGTGAATAAAGTACACTTTTATATTTCAAACTTTAACGTAAAACGTATTTTCTGCTACATATGACTACATTTTTACATGTCAACTTAAGTTAATAGTAATAAATAAAGTTCTCATCACTTTCAGTACCTGAAAGAAAAGTCTAAATAATGAGTAAGAGCAGAACTTAAAAATACTTCAGCGGTCAACTAGTGTTTCCCCCACTACTATCTAAGGAGTGTGCACTGCCACCCCCTGAATTATATAATAATTTCCAGTAAACAGCATTAAAAAAAACAGGGGAATGTAGTCAAATCAGATTATGTTAAACTGAAAATGTTTTATCTTTGTCACAATCAGTCGTAATGATGTTCCTCATCATCCTCAACCCCCTGCTGTTCTTATCTGGGAGTGTTTTGTTGGTCAGGTTTAGTTTTAGCAACATTGTGTGGTCAAAATTTAATGCTAACCAACAAGCAGAGACAAGGTTTTTGTCTTTCTCACTGTAGTTTTTATTGTAATAAAAAAAATCCAACATTAAACAAGTTGGTTAATAGTAATAAATAAAGTTCTCATAATTTTCAGCTCATAAAAAGTTGCTGATGTTACAAAAAATAGTGAATTCATCATAATCAGTAGGTTTTAAAATACCTCTATTAAATCATCCCCACCAAAAGTTCTGTCTGTTTTGTTTGCAGCCTTACCTGCGTTGTGCTTGGCCAGGTATTTGTCCTTGTACTGTTTTTTCTTTTTGCCAAACCAGGTACAGCTGGCCTGCTGCTCCTGCTTGGTCTTCTCCATCGCTATGCAGGCCACACGCCTACAAAAAGAAAAAACAAAAATTAATAATAATAATAATAATAATAATAATAATAATGCAAAACTTCAGCACAGAGTTGTGCTTCTACCTTATTTAATAAAGTTAGGAAATATGCCCACAGCTCACTTTAAACATTCAAACTGTTATCAAGCCAAACAGTTAAGCAGGTACTTAAAAAGGTGTGACGTTTATTAATAACATTAATCTAATAAAACTCAGCTCAGATTTATATGCTGAGCTCCCAGCATCCAATTAAAATGCTTTGAAAACAGCAAAAATGCAAAAATAACAGCTCGTGGGAGGAACTGTCTTAAAAATGAAGACTAAASTGTTGTACCTTGAATCAAAGCTCTTTGTTAACGTTAGCTGCACCACACAACTGTATCTGTTATGCAACCAATTTAAGAAATTAAGAAGAAATCTAAATATTGTTGGAGTTTTTTTGAGTGTGTATATATATGTCTGTGTGTATATATCTACAATATGTATGAATGTAGGCATGTATGTATGTATATCTTTATATATGTATGGGTATGTGTATATATTTATACATGCCATCCATGTATTTATACATTTATTTTTAGGTGAGCGGACAGATGTTGGGTGTGTGGTCCTGTGTTTTCTTGGTGTATTTTTAATATACTTCTAATCTCTATTTCAATCTTTTTAATTACTTCTCTCTTTGTTTTTTCCTTTTTCTCTATTTTCTCTTTACTTAAAAAATAATCACTGATGATGAAGAAATTAAGAAACTAATATTAAGTTCTGTTTTCTACTGAAGTGATTTAGAAAAAAAAAGATGCTTTGAAAACAGCAAAAATGCAAATATAACAGCTCATGGGAGGAATTGTTTTAAATATGAAGACTAAACTGTTGTACCTTGAATCAAAGCTCTTTGTTAACGTTAGCTGCACCACACAACTGTATCTGTTATGGAACCAATTTAAGAAATTAAGAAGAAATCTAAATATTGTTGGAGTTTTTCCTCACCACTCCTGCAGCTCGGGCGAGGGGATGAGGCCTGCTGTGCCATTCTTGGTGTTCTCCAGCTTTCCCTGCCACCAGTTGTGGTCGTCCTTGGARATGATCTGGATGATGTCGCCCACTCGGAAGCGAATGCCCGCCTCCTTACAGGGGATCAGGTCGTCTTTTGTCGGGTCGTACTCAAACTGGGCGCGAACGTAAATCTGTAGGCGCAGGAAAGCAAGACAAAAAAAACTATTAGGCATGAGTGAAAAGAACATCTCTGGAGACGTGAAAATATATATATAAGGTGCCAAGCTGCTCTTATTGTAAAAGACTGGTTAGAASAGTGGTGTCTAGTCCTGGTCCTTGAGGGCCACTTTCCTGAATGTTTCAGATGTTTGACTCATCTGATTTGATCAAACTAGTGACTTGACGACTAGAACACCCAGGACAGTGGCCCTGGAGGACCAGGACTGGGCACCAGTSGTAGAAGCAGAAGCAGGAAAATGCATCAACAAAGTGACGAGCAGCAGGATGAAAGTAATCAAGCCTCCACTGTGACGCTACAGTGAACATGGTGCTTCCTGCCTGCAGGTGGATCCACTGGTTCTTTAATGAGACACCAGACTATGCAAAGTGAAATGGGAAGAGCCGGGATCTACTTCTACAAAAAGAAAGGGGGGGATCCATTTCGTTCCATCTTACCTTGATGGACAATTTGTCCTTCATAGCAGGTCTGGTCATCTAGAGGTTGAGAGCATCACACACACAAATCATGCAATAGAAATTTTGGGGATGCACAAACAAAGTTAGTGTGATGAAGGGGGGGACCCAAAACTACATGTTAGATCTCAGTAGAGCCCACAAACAGAACCACACGGTTATTTTCTGATAATGTCTTCAATGTTGTGATGGAAACAAAAGAGACAGGATGACAGTGAAAGAACAAGAGGGCTTTAACACAGAGTACGTACATGCGTACATGATTTTTGGATGCGTTTAGTAGATTTAACAACAAAAGAGACAGACAGTGTAGCTGTAATAAATGATTAAATCTCACCTGACGGCCTTTAGGCTGGATCGTTGATGGCAGGTCCTGTAGAGGAAATTAGATTTTCTTTATTACCAGCAGCCATTAACCAGAGGAAATGATTCTGTGAAAGTGAAAAGAACTGCGCACGAACCAGGATGGAGCTTGTGACGCTGGCGTGACCGTTTGCAGGTGACTGGCGAGATAAATCCGGAGACTCTTTCTGCASCAGCGGTTATAAAACAATTTGTTTATTTAACTCGTACGACAAGAAAAAGGATCAGTGTGTGTGTTGAGGATGTCTCACCTCACATGACATCGACTGGGAGCGATAACTGGGTACAATCTTAAATGTGATGCTACCCCTCATCTCCCTCTGTGGGGAGAAACTCTCATTATTTACTCACAGTGGCTCGTTTAATCTRCCTCACAGCACAAGTCCAGGGTAGACACTTCCCTTCTTGAAAGATCAGTTTTCTTTGTACATTCAATCATTYCTGAAATAAAATAGGCTGTCGAATTTTAAATCCGAGTCAGACTTTAAGTGTGACGTACCAGCATCTTYTGAAGCTGCTCTACAGTCTGATTGGCTACGCTGATGCCGTTAATCTCTCGGATCTCATCGCCAACATGCAGAGTCCCTGGAGTGGACGAATAAAGGGATAAAGGGTTCAAATTAARTCCCGGGGCATAAAAACACCAGTTGCATTGACTACATTTAATTAATTAWGTCTCATCCAAGTGTCTGTTTTATAAACTCCACTAGATGACAAGAAGTACCTTGTCGATGGATCATGCCACCATGCATGATGCGAGCCACAATACAGTGGTTAAGGTCGTTCATTTTTAGAGTAATGCCCTGAAAGCAAAAGTGGGACAGAGACGTTTTGTTTTTAGTGGGTGGAGACATTCACTGGTCAATTAGGTAGCAGTTTCTGACGGCCTGCCTAAACATTTAACAATTGGGCTTCCTGTCTGCACACCATCGGCTCGTCTGTGTTCTTCTGGAACTGGACCAGCCGGACCCTGGTCACGTTCTCCAGGTCCATGTCCCCGTTGGTGCTGTCTGGGGAGTCTCCGTTCAGATACGGCGAGGTGGGAGGCGGTGTCACCCTCAGCGCCTCGTCGCTGTACACCTCGTGGGCCACCACATCGTGGGTCTGCAGCAGAGCCTGGATGACAACAAGAACAACAACCAGGTGCTTCAATACTCTTTTTTTCCCCTCCCTTTTTGTAAATGAACACAGTCTTAATGCAATATGCCCATTGGTTTTAACTCTGTATCTGTGTATTATCAGTGAGGAGCTATCCCTGAACAGTCAACACCACCAGCACATAAACACACACACATCCTGGCCRCCCATGTTTTTAACTGTAACTATGCAGCAARTAGTTCAAGAAGATAAGATCTCGTACCATGGTGCAAGGACGAACGTCTGTAAGACGTGTCTCTATTGGTTAGTTCAGACTGAAGCGATTTCCTGGTGTACCTACTTTGAATGTTGTCAATACATCAAACTGACAATATTAAAGGTTATCAGTCCCAGCCATCATTACAACTTTTCCAGCCAAAAAAAAAAAAAAAAAAAAAACAGCATAGGCACACACTTCTGCACTGTCTGTTGGAACTGGTGGCCATCTCTTTTGTGACAAATACAGAAAATGTCACTTCTCAGTAGGGATGGGTATCGTTAAGGTTTTATCGATACTACTACTCTTATTGGTACTGCTTATCGATCCGGTATTTTAACGGTTCTCTTATCGATGCTTTTCTATTGGAATAAAGCCAGTGTTCCCCCTAGGGAATTGGGGGGGGGGGGAGAACACACAAAAAATAAATAAAATACAAAACTAGTGCACGTGACTCTGTGTGGGTCAGTTTTGGTGACAGAATATGAATCATGTTTTCATCAGATTCTGTCCTTGGTGACTGATAATCCACAGAAAAATATGATAGTAACGTCGAGCGGTCAATGATAAAGTTACTCAATCGATACTTAAGTTCAAACATGAAGCAACATTTTTCAAAAATAAAATGCTGCACCGTAGCATCCGGTCAGAGGCAGGTTCAGATAAACAAGCAGGTCAGATAATTATTTAATCAGCTCTGACTGCACAGCAACTTCAGAATCAACAGCTTCCATAGGCTGCTTCTGTAAACACCACACTGAATGAATGAGACGTCACGTCTTTCTAAACTTCTAATTCTAAAAAAAATTCTAAACAATTTCATTATACATGATGAAGACGACAATAAACTTTCTTCTTAAGTGACCCAAGCAGAAAGCAGAACAAGAAATGTTTCCATTAAACACACATGTAATGACTCAGTTTTCAATAAAAGCGCACCTAACTAGCTTTGAACAGCTGGTTATCACTAATTACCAGTGTGCACTGATGTGGACTCAACTCTGTTTGCAAAACATCACCATCTTTTTGGAGCTCAGCCAATTCAAGATGGCTGCCACAGCTAACTGACTTTAGAGAACACAGAAATATCAATTATTCTATCATACAGATATTTAGCTAAAAATTATATGTGATTTTAGTTGAGGAACTCTACGTTGCACAAAATCTTCCCTATGACCTTTAGCATCAACAATCGAAGCAGAACCTGTCAGCTGCTACCTACTTGTTGATAAAATAGTTTAAGAGTAATAAGTCTTAACATATAATCAGAGTGAGACATCTCTGACAAAACTGCTGAATTATATTAGGAGAACCTGCAGTTATGATATAATTTTGACACTATGTGTTTTAGTTTAGATACTGTCATCTAAACCAGCTGCAGTGTTTCAGGACATCCAGTTGTCCAAGATATTTTAATTTGAGGTTTGTGTTTGCTTTATAATCCTTGCATAACAACAATACATGAGTACAGAGGGCTCAGATTAGATCAGATTACATTAAAATAAAAATAAAATTAATTACATTACTGTTCCTTTGTTTCTAAACAAGGAAATTATGAGCTCAGTTTGCAAACTGCATGCACTCAATTACTGATAGTTGAGCTTCATAACACCTAGGAATGTGCGATATGGCAAAAAATTCATATCACGATATACATTATGATGAGTGGCGGTAACGATATATATATCACGATATAAAACTTATAATAGAAAATAAATTAATCACATATTAATTGAGTGGAATGTATAAATATGTATAGGTAAAAAAAAACTAGACCTTAAAATCTCTTTTTAAGGAACACTAAAGTCTCGCATAAAAATCTGAATGTAAGGGAGACCTACCTGGTTAAATCAAAGATATACAAGTACATACAGTATATACAGCGGGTAATATAAGTATTGTACACGTCAACATTTTTCTCAGTAAATATATTACTAGAGG